GTTTTTCTCTTCCTTACTAGTCGAAGGGCCTCGCTTGCGCTTACCTAGCGACCCTAAGGCGGCCTTACGAGTAGCAAACTCCTCTTCCAAAGCCGTAAGCGCGCCAGCCTTAGAAGATTCGCTTGCCTCCGCCTCCGGCGCAGCGTCTTTTCCCTTGCTCGTCTCTTTTAATAGATGAACCGCTTCGTCGAGGGGAGTATAGATAGGTTAGTAGCGAGGCAAGCGAGCTTAGTGCGTCGGTTAGTTAGAAAGAACCTAGCCTCTAGCTTGGTTCCTAATTGGTGGGTCGAGCCGCGGTTGCTTTTTAGACGGAGCCTAGTAAACAAAGTCGGATCAGAAAGGCCTGGAGCCGTCGGTCGATTGGGATCGCGGCGGCAGTATGGCGAACCGTGTAGTAGCTAGTAAGTATCGAATTGAATCGAACCCGGGTTAGTGTTTATTAGTGCGACCGTGAAGGGCGCTACTAGGTTAGTGCGACCGTAAGGGGCGCTAGTTTAGTAAAGTTAGTGCGACGCTTCGGTCGGCTTACTAAATGCAGTGCGGAAGTCTTTTGGCGCTATATGGCAATAGCTAGTGGAGTCGATTAAATAGTCAAATCCTGTAGTGTGCCTTTCAGCTACTATATACCACGATTAGTACTAGATATCTCCAAATGGTCGTGAATATATAATTAATTAAGTGGTTGTTGCATTAAGGCAACGCGACCGACTATATACCTCTTATTAGTTAGCTCTTGCCGTCCAGGCCACCTTATTGTGGCCTGGACCGTGATATACTTCTTAGTCTAGAGGTATTTAGCCACGGCTAGTTATATATCACGCTTATCCGTATTACTCGTCCTAATAGTATCTACATAGTACTACCTAACACGAATATCGCCTGTAGCGGCCGCCTAAAGAATGTAGTATATAGTGAGGTACTTTAGATATAATAGGATATAAAGGCTAGCGAGGGAGAGTTAGTAGCGCATTAAGTATATATGTTACTTTATTGCATATCGCGCCTAGACCTATTAGTTAAGTGTTGCTAGTAATAGGTTTACGGAAGCTTAGCGTAGATAGAAGATAGGAATATAAGTATCGCATAGTATTACAGATATTACTAGTATAGAAGTTGGGTGTGAAAGCAGGAACAGCCTTAATCGATACTATTAAAAGCTATAAGGTAGCGTGCTAACTATATACCTATGAACGCTATGCCCGCATTACACACTAGGTGTAACATAATATTATACCTATTACCGCAAGAGTTAGAGACTGTAAAAGAGCAATCTTACCTACTTCGCACTATTATAGAAGACTATATAGCTGTCTAAAGTAGTAGTATATATAACTAGCTACCTATATCCATGTTGTTATCCATAAAGCGCTACTACTTCTCTTCCTCTTTATTGTTATTGTTATTCTCCTTTATCACCTTCTACGTAGTGGGGCGGTGGCTGCTATTAAGGCTCTGGTTTAGAACCGGATAGTCCGCACGCTATGCAGCCAAGCGGACATTATTCTTAGTAATCTGCGCGGCTATACGCGCGGAGCTATAGTCGATATTGTCGGGATCGCTAGTGTTATAGCTTATATTAAGGATAGTATAGCCCTACACGGTAGAGAAGACGAAGTTAGAGAGTTATATACGGCTATAAGTGAGGGGTGGAGAGAGAGCACTACCTTATAGAGCGTTCGTAGACGTTGAGGCGCGAGCGCTAAAGACGCTAGCGCGGGAACCTGGAGCGACTACTAGCATGTTAGTATTAGTTCTATATAATCGACCGCGTCGATTTATATACCGTATTCGGTGCCTAGATTATAGCGCTTATAGTGGCCATCCTATATATAGTTGCTATAAGCAGTGTCATAGACGTTAGGGCGAGCGCGGTAGTCCGTAAATAGACTATTATTACTATTAGCGTAGCTGTTATAAGAGGTTCCGCATAGTGGAGCGCGGATATGCAGCTTTGCGGGGTGGCGGAACATGGACTAATTAAGGTCGTAGATGCTATTATGGTTTAGGCGAAACTACAGGCGCGTGTCGCTAAGCTCGGAGAGGCTATTAAGAAACTACTCGCTCTTTGTGCAGAGAACTCCCTTCGTAAACTTAACTAGGTTCGCTTTACGCCCATTAGCATAGTAACTATAGGCCACTTTTCATAGAGTGCGCATACCCTTAGCTAATAACGTGGGAGAATTAGTGCCTTCGGCCTAGTGAGTACAACCTAGTGCCTATAGATTGCGCTTTCCACCACCGCCACCGCCTCCACCTGTACTCTAGCTAGTAGCTATATGGCCGGGAGCGGGAATGACGACCTAAATACTAGCTATACTAGGTGTACGTACTAGTTGGATAGACTTAATAAGAGAGGTGTGCGTAATTACGGTTAAAGTTAATAATTAGAAGGTGGTTATAAGAATTACGGAATATTTATTCCTTTATTCGACGGAGAGTGCTGGTGCGGCCTAGTGCGCGCTAGTAAGGTCTAGCTTTCGCTTAACACAGACACTTCGTGTATATACAGCATAGGTGTAATTTATAAGGGAATTACGTTATATACGGTATTTGCGGTATTATGCGTAAGGTTTACAGTTCGAGTCCATTCTAGAAAGTACTTTTCAAGAATATATAATATGCGCTTACAGTTAAATTTAACCTGCACCGCATCCTTTACCTTTTCTTTTACCTTACAGAAGGTCTGCAGTTTAAGTCCACCTTAGAGAGTATCTTTTAAGAATCCTAGAAACCGTTTTGGTATAAAACAGGCACACCTCGTCCACCTTTATTATATCTTGCACTATCCCCTAACCTCTTAGTTGAAACTACTAGTATACTATACTCTAGTACCGGCTATCGTCATCTAGAGATAGCAGCTCGTTACACTTTAATATACCTCTATCGTAATACGTATCAGCCATGATTTAGTGCTAGTTTGAGCGGTGTTTATTAGTGGAAGTTGAAAAATAATGTTTAGCTACTAAATGATATTTGGCTGCCGAATGATGTTTAGCTGCTCGGCACGTCCTGCGGACGGGGTAGTGGAGCGGCACGGCTAAGCCGTACTATCTTGCATCGGGGCGCCAAGGCCTTGCGTTGCCCTGGCAATAGATTCTACATCGGCAAAAGTTTTTGTCACCTCTGAGGTCTCAGAGCCACCTCTGAGATCTCAGAGCTGCCGAGCCCATGTTCTTCTCGAGAGCAGCTCGCGAGCGGCTCGCGAGATGGCTCGATTTGCCGTCAGCTCGAGTCATTTCGTCCACCTCGTGTGCCAAGCGTCATTTCGTCCACCTCGTGTGCCAAGCGTCATTTCGTCCACCTCGTGTGCCAAGC